ACCACAGTCCGAGCCGGCCGCGTTGCCGTCGCCTACTCCGCGCGGCGGTTCCTCAACGTCGCCGCCCGCCGCCGCACCGGCGAGGACGACGCGCTCAGCCGTCAGCGTTCGGGGTGGCGTTTCCCCATACGCGACATGTTACGTCAGTCCGCGAATTCACCGCGTCGAAGCACTTGCCCTTCACTGCGCCCTGCAGTTAGGGCATGGGAACGTCTTCACTCGTGTCCGCCAGGTACAGAAAGAAGTCGCGAGGGTTGGTGTCTCGTTGGCGGCGGCTCTCCTCCATGCCGCCCGCTTGCCGCCGCCGCCAGGGCGCGCGCGCTTGCGTTTAGGGCCGCCGGCCCCCCGCCCCCCGTCCCCGCCGGACGCCTGTTGGTGGTTGGGCGGCGGCGCCGGGCGTGGCGCGCGCGGGCGGCGCTCGGCGCGCGAGACCGAGTCGGGGCTCGACGAGCGGTGATCAATGGACGAGTTGTAGGATCCGTCGCGAGCCTGCGAGTCGACGCGGGCCTCGGTTCGACTCGGGCGAACACCTCGCGTAGCTCCTCCTCGGGCGGGTGGCTCCCATGATCTCCTCGATGTCGTCGCCTCGTCATCCTCCGTCCTCGTTCGTCTCGCCTCCACCACCCCGTGGGCGCCTTCCGAACGCCCGGCGCGTCCTCGTCCTCGTCCTCCTCCACCTCCAGGCGCACTGCCACCGCCTCCATGGGCTGCCGGTTTGGCTCCTCGCTAGACGCGCCCACCGCGGTCCTCCGACAGCGGCTACCGGCTCCTCGCCCCGCCCGCGCCGGCCCACGCCCCACGCCACCGCCGCCGCCGCCGCCGACCGGCTCCCGTTCGCCCTTGCAACACACACACGCCAACTTCATGATACAACACCTTCATTTCTGGGATCCAGGCAACAATGTTTCACATTTAAGATATCCGAAGAAAAACAAGAACGAGAAAGCAGGTGCAAGGAAGACAAGAAGACAGAGGCCAGAAGGAAGACGAGAAGAGGCAAGAGAAAGAACGATAAGAGGGCAGAGGAAGAACGGAGTAAGGGCTAAGGAAGAACGATAAGAGGCAGATGAGAACGAGAAGAGGCAGATGAAGAACGAGAAAGAGGCAGATGAAAGAACGAGAAGGGCAGATGAAGAACGAGAAGAGGCAGAGGAAGAGAACGAGAAAGGCTGAACGACAGATGAAGAACGAGAAGAGGCAGAGTGAGCAAAGCGATGAGAACGAGAAAGAGGCAGATGAAAGAACGAGAAGAGCAAGAAGAAACGAGAAAGACGCAGAGAAGAAACGAAGAAGAGGCAGATGGAAGAAAACGAGGAAGAGGAGAGGAAGGACAAGAGAAAGAAGACGAGAGAGAGAAGGACGAGGAGGCAAGAGGCGGAAGGCAGAGAAGGACGAGAAGAGCAGCAGGAAGGACGAGAAAGAGGCAGAGGAAAGGACGAGAAGAGGGCAGAGGAAGGGGACGAGAAGGCAGAGGCGGAGGGAGAAGAGAAACGAGAGGCAGAGAAAAGACGCGAAGAGATTTGAAAGAACGAGAAGAGGCAGATAAGAAGAGAAGGCGAGACAGAGGCCAGATGAAGAACGAGAAGAGGACAGATGATAGAAGCAACGAGAAGAGCCGATGAGACGAAGAGCAGAAGAACGAGAAGAGGGCAGATGACAGAAACGAGAAGAGGCAGATTGCAAAGAACGAGGAAGAGGCAGAATGAAGAACGAAGAAGAGGCAGATAGGCAAGAAGAACATTGAAGAGAAAGAGGCAGATGAAGAACGAGAAGAGGGCAGATGAAGGACGAGAAGAGCAAGGGAAGGGACGAGAAGAGGGCTATGGAAGACGAGGAAGAGGGCAGAGAAGTGAACGAAAGAAGAGGCAAGATTGAAAGACACGAGGAAGAGGACAAAGATGGCAGAGGAGACGAGAAGAGCCAGAGGAGAGAAGAGAGAGAAGAACGAGAAGAGCCATGAGATTGGAAACGAGAAGAGGCAGATGAGAACGAGAGAGGGCAGGATGAAAAGAACGAAGGAAAGAGGCAGATGAAGAAACGATGGGGGAAGAGGGCAGATGAAGAGGGAACGAAGAAAGAGGGCAGATGGAAAGACGGAGAAAGGCAGTTGAGAGAAGGAGGGCAGAAGAAGAAAGAGCAGAAAGAGAAAGGACGAGAAGAGCAGAGGCGTACGATGAAGAGGCAGAATCTCTCTGCGTGTGTGGTGGGGGCGGGGAAATCTCCAAGCGGAATCTGGGACTTCTTTCTGCGCCTGGCGGACGCCGGCAAGACATTCCCGCAGCTCCTGCAGGTGCAAGTAGAGGGAAAGTGTCTCGTTGTCGTGAATTCCTCTGAACTGTCTTAAACGTTGCACCTGATGGCTTACACGCTGGCAATGATTGCGTAGGGAGAAGACGACAAACACGAAGATAGCGGTGGCGGCGGTGACGACAGCGGAGGGGGATCTGAGGCATGGAGGGTTTGATAATGCGGAATTCAACGAAACTCTCCGTGATGTTCATAGTACTTGCCGAGTTCACGTGTATGTGGATTGGTAAAGCGGAATGGCCGCTTTTTTCGCACGAAGGCACATCATAAAATTTTGCCCGAAAACCCAGTCGTTCAAGACTGTGTCCTGTGGAGTTACATGATTGCGCAATAGTCGGGCTCGATCATTGTTTATTTCATCTGTAAATCCCGACTGTGGCATTGTTTGTTTGATTTTATATTGTTATTGATGGGCCGAAAAGCCATTGATTATGTGATTCAGAAATTCTTACTTTTATTATTTTTATATATAGTGTTTTAATGTATGATATATTACGTTTATAAAAATGAATTGTTCAATTAATTTGAGAGTGAGCGGAAAATAAACAAAAGAATGTCGCAGCGTGGATATTAACTGAAAACGTCTGTGCACTTGTGTGATTTGCTATCCTTTGCTCCACCAAATAAATTGACTACCTACTGAAACAGATAATGTACTTGGCAGGTCGTTGGTCTGAGACTTTTTTAATGTTCTTTCCTCAAAACCTGTGGTCACCGTGAACTCGGCAAGACGAACTCCTTTCTAATCGATTTTCGTTTAATATCGCATTTCTCAACTCTTGATGCGTCCGTGAGAGTCTGGACTTCCTGAAGTGATGAAGGAGGAGAACCGACGTCAGCACTCCAACCTTTGCACCTGGTGAGCTCAATTAATATGTTCTCGCCGTACCTGCAGGCTCGGCTCCAACTGTTGCCATCTCGCAGCTTCCTCTATGAAACTGCCGTAAACGTCACGCATGGGAAGAGACATCCGAATGCCGCTGACATCCCCGCTCGTGACGTGTGCAAAGGAGCGGAAGTGGTATCGCAGGGGGTGGCGATGGGTACAGAGAAGAATGGTGATGCGGTCCCCCAAGTTCAACGCAAAAGGAAGATGTGTAACAAGTACAAATGTGGAAGACGACCGACATACTACCCAGAACGTCTTCTCCACCTGGCAGACAGCTTATGAGATTGTGCTCTCATCTGCAGGACCATGTGAATAATCCGTGGAAGAGATCGAAAACGGAAGCAAAGTGTGTTGGGTTTCTGTAAACTCCGTGAATCTGTTGAATCTGTCTTTGGGTACAAACAGAAAGGACGCGACCCGGCAAGATCAAAATGATGTACAGCTGTTCTTGGCTGGATGGTACTGATGGCTTTGGTACTGACAGCTTGCGAGCCCATGAATGTCTGTTGCAAAACGCTGATCCTCTTTGGCCAAGCCTTTACATTCTTCCATAGCTGGATGAGTTTCATGCCCTGAGATAGCTGCATCGAAAATCACCATCGCTTACAGCCCATTACTTCGTTGCATTAGAGTACGAGACCCTGCGTACGCAACCCAATCGTACCGTCAGTCGCCCTCATGGGTATGTTTGTATTCCGTCCGCGACGCAGGTGGACGCGGGGAGGGGGTGAATACTGATTTCCAATTGGCCCACTCCCTCCCGTCGTCACAGAAACAGAGAGTTTTTTCTCAACTGTTAATTCGGAAAAGGTACGTCTTCCGCATCAACACAACGAGCAGCACATCCCTGCAAATTTGTTACCTTGGCGCTTCGCGTACTGTCTGTTTGTACCCATATGCTTACGACAAACGCCACTTCCAGACGTCGTTTAAGAATTTGATCAGGTTACCATGGGCGATATGTGTGTGTGTGTGTGTGTGTGTGTGAGTGTGTGAGTGTGTGAGTGTGTGTGTTATGCCATCCTGCGTACGAAACTAGCTGCCTGTACAAGCCAGGCTCGTAGCTAGACATTGTTTCAGTATGTCTTCTTCATTGTTTGCGTGGTTGGCGTTGTCCGATAGGACTAAAGAATGCGGCAAGACAGAAGGAAGTTTGTGAGCCGATTGTGCAGTTATTGTGTTCATTTTACTTGTGCTTTGCAGTGAATGTGAGATTCTCCTCTCACTCATTAGACTGACATTGTTATTGCATGGACAACGGTGCGTGTTTTATAAATATGAACTGTTGCGAAAGTGTCGTTGCCTTAATGGAGGTTTGTTGTGTACAAATACAAAATTTTTAGGTACAATGGAATGAAAGAACCTCTGAAAGTTCTCAGCTGTCTCCTAATGCTTGCTATAAAGATGTTAGTGATTTGCACCAGTTCTTTTTACCTTTCCATTCACCCAGTTTTGGTGATGGAATATTGTAATGAAAGATTCAGTGTCTTGTGAGAAGAATGTTTCCTCTTAATCTCTCAATCAGGCTGCCTGTATGGCAGTATGTGATATTGTGTCTTCCTTCTAAATCTCACTACAGTTGGCGTTCAGGTAAAATGGCAAGTGGCCATGTAAGCAAAGTACAATGTGATTATTATGACAAGTATATGTATGTACATGTGTTGGTGTGCGACTGTGAATGTGTATGTATGCATGTATGTATATGTGTGTGTGTGAGTTAAATTGGCATGTTGTTAAACACAAAAACTTTCAAGTTTTATTGTAGTCTCACAAATATTCAAAATACTAAGTAGATTTGTACCTGAGTTTGGATTCCCAGTTTGAATTACTTGAAAATGAAGAAATTAGCTTGGGGACAGCAAATGCAAATGCTATGTTATACTTTCATTAGTATCTACTTTCAGGCATATAAAATTAATATATTGAGGATGCTTCACAGTATTATGAGCTAGCAAATTATACAAACTTGGGTTTGTTTCAATTAATCATTTTACAAGAAAAAATAACTTTCTGACTGACATTACATTTCTGATTCACCACAGTAAATATATTATGTGCAATAACCATGTTAGAAATAAAATATAAACTGACCAGTATTAGATAATTTTTTAATATCTATTTGTATCTTTCTTCTGGCCCAGTAATTACAATTCATTTTCTGTATTGATTTTGTTCTGCATTAATTTCATGCAATACAAAAGGTAAAAATGTGAAGTTGCTAATTATTAAGAATTTCATAGTGTCTGCACTTTGAATGTGCTCCTCAGTTTTCTCAGCTTTTTTATGAGAAAGAACCTAGCAATTGTGGTATACTACTAGTCAATTATGATTGGAGGGGGAAAAAGTAGAACTGGCAGAATGTAGAACTACCTAGAAGATACCTAGGTAAAAACCAAGTCATATTAGTGTTTTGATTAGTAATTTTATGGAAAGGTGTTCATTATTTGAAATTAAATTGAATTTTTAGATTTACTCATTTATTTAGGGCATTCAGGGAGAAAACTACGAAACTCCGACAATAAGCTCAATTTTAAGCATATTTGCTGCTTAACCTGCTATAAACTCTTTTGAGATTTCAATGTCTGTGCTGCAAATCAAAAATTGGTTTGAAAAAACACGTTTTTTGCAAAGATTTGCATTTCAGAGACACACAAACACTCCAGAAGCATGTAATGTGTTTATTGTTTACAAAGGAAATGAATATATTTGTACACAAAGAAAAATTAACACAGAAATTTTTTTAAATTTACACAATTGAATTACTTTCTTATTTCAGTGATAATTTTTATTTGTGAACAAATATATTCATTTCCTTTGTAAACAATAAACACATTACATGCTTCTGGAGTATTTATTTTTAAATGCAAATTTACCATAGCAAGTATTTTTTAAACCAGCTTTTGAGTGTGGTTCAACCATTCGAAATATCAAAGGAGTTTGTTAGACAAAATATGCATAAAATTAACTTAAGTGAAAAGAACCTAATTTTAAATGATATGAAAGCATTTTTTATATTCTTGTAAGAACGGTTTGATGAAGATTGTTAATAACTTATTGCACATCATGTTGCTCAAACAAACAAATTAATTGCATCGCCTTCTTGAAATTAGGTAAATTGAATTGTAATCTAAAAGAATCAGATACTGAAAAACTTGGGGTTTGAAACAAAACTGATAGGAATTACAGGCATTTTGGCACTCGTCGTTCCTCACATACGTCTGTAACGTGGGCAAGTCCGACAATCCATCTTCATATTTTCAAAGGCTCCTGCACGTTAAATCGTACCAATTCGTGTTCGGGTTGTGAGGTACAGTTACAATTAGGTGCGAATAACACACATGCATTCGCTCGATTGCGCAGTGTGGGTGACACGCATTGGTGTCACCGTAAGAGCATCAATCGGTAGCTCCATGCACAAGGGGTGCCGAAAATATGTTCCAGTAAATATCTTATATGCGATAGTCTCAACCATTAGGGGAAGGACATCAGTGATGATCAGTGTGTTAGTAGTTCGTGAAGATTACGCTATCTAGTAGTGATAATCAGAACGAAAATGATTTGTTTATTTTCCTTAGTTTATATAAAGTCGAAAGCATTATTATTGGCATTGCAATATTGAAACACGAATCGGTACTTTTTTAATCTCGAACAGAAGATACAATATCTTCACGTATTAATAAAAGTTATCTTACGGAGGAATGGACTTTTCTAGAGAAAATTGCAAGTCAGCACTCTTCTACGTAGACCATAAGAGAGAAGATAACAATTTTGTGATTTTTTTCCAATTTTTCGAAAGGCACATCTCGTAAGGTAGTATTTTTCAACAATGTAGATCAAAATTGGTAACAATAATTATCGCGGTATTCTTCACATCACTCTCCAAATTTCGCGATGTATTTGAAGAATATAACCTTTCTTGAAAAATTGACTACCAAGTGTAAATATGAATACTCCGAGATCTTGTCTAATTCGAAACAGATGATCTAATCGACCGAACCATGGATTCAAACATAGATTCGTGACGATCTTACAACAATCTGCAATTGGCATGCCGACAGGAGATGAAAGAATGGGTATAAGCTAACAATTGAATAAGGCAGGGGTGTCTTGGGAAACAGTTTTAACCGAGGTGTAACAGTGCTCATTCACCACATATTGACACTGAAAATGGATTGTCACGAAGTGTAAATATTTGATTCACAAACAAGATACTACTATTAAATATCAAATAAATATACGATTGTCTAATCCTGCGCGATACGTGAACTCTAATCTTGCTTAAAAAATACATCTTACAATAGACTATTCTAAGCCACTCAACAAACAGAATTGTGATGTTTTAATCTTTTTCGTTTCTCCTAGAGGTTGCCAAGCCCATGTAGTACGAATAGTTTACGTCGTTTATAATTTCATCAGTATTTTTAATACTATAAATATGTATTTTATGTTAGTTTCCTGGTTTAGAAAATTCTTTGGACAATCAATTGTCTCTTCAGTAAAGTTACTTAAAACTGTTTACCATTATCTACTTATGTATGTTCAGAAATCATGTACCGAATTTAGAATGTGCTGTATTTTTGTAATGTTCGTTTGTGAAGCTCTATAGAAAGGTTTTGTGCCTTCCAAGAAACGCGAGAAAATATTATCTTCAAGGATTATCATGGTCATTAGCCAGATTAACTTACGCCAACTGATAGTCACCAAGGCTTTATTCAATTTGTGAGTGCTGTTCTGCGATCTCTTGATGTTTTGCTGCCTGAAAGGAGCAGTTGGGAACACACATTGCAAAGAATAGTTTTTAAGCACTAGACTGAGTTTTATTCCATTTTGTATATTCAAAGATAACAATGTTATTTTATTGATAAAAATAAAAAAACCTTATTGTCTAAACTATTGTCTAATTAATGCTACACGATATATTGTTCTGCACCTAGTGTTTGTAGAGCAAAGCTCTGTATATGTCATGGTGCAAGAGGAACATTCAAGTCTTAACATCTCGTCTGACACTTTATTTGCACCTCACTTCTTTCCCAAGTTGTTTAGAAACTTGTTCACTGCTGTGAGTGTGGAAATGGGAATCTGAAACAAAAAGAACAGTTGAAGATGCTGGACAGTGCAAAGCAAATTCTCGCTGCTGCAAACAGATCAGACGAATGTGTGATTTACAATCAAATACCGATGCGAAGCAAATTCTGGTCATTACAATGCTACTTCGTTGCAACTTTACTAATTTCGTTGTTTGAAGATATTAATATCTGTAACCACAGCTTTAGCGCAGATTTGGTAATCGCACTAAAGTGCGTAAAGTAAAGAAAAGTTCCTAAAGAAAAACGTATTGATTTTATAAAATACTACAGTTGATCAACACGTCAGTGCCATTTCCACGTGAATTTCCGTCTATAATTTTGAAGAAAATGTCAGCTTTAAATTGTGTTTTGCAAAAACTTAAAGCTATTAAGCCTAATTGCCGTTTCGGAGTTCAAACTTTTCTTTTATCTCAGATTTACACGTTGCACATTTGAAAACAGTAAATTTTACAATATTTGATAAATATGCCAGCTGGTTTACTTAAGAATTACGATATATAATGTTATTTATATCAAAGAAAACTTTGATATAAAAATGATAATATTTTTAATTCGATTACTACGTGATGCTGATTTATTCTTTAAATTGTTAATATGTATTGCTTTTAATCGTGTTTATATTTATCGTTATCGCCTTTAAATTAGCTTTATGATCTTTATTATATTTTAGAGAAAGGTGAAAACTTGTAAATTTCTAAGGCAGTAGTGATACAATCACATTTGAGGCTTGCTGGCGTAAATATTGGTACCTGACTCATTAAGAAAATACATTTCAGTACCAGTTTACACTAAACGAGAAGCTTATGCCGTTACGTAAGAGGGTATTTTCATTAACAGTTGTTGAAACTAATCGGATAGCAGCGCTACTTCTTCCCTTCAATTAGTCATTAATCTTGATTTCACCGCAAAGTCAAATACAACTTGTTCGATTGCCTAATTATTGTTAACAATTTTTTTTTTAATTTATTTTCTTCGAATCCGATCTTTGTCTTTTGGGGATTTCGACGGGTACAATGTTACACACAATGGATTTCTTTGGCGATTCTGAGGCAAATGTGGGTCTCGGTATAACCCTTCACTATTTTCACTGATTGAATAGTTTATTTCAGACACTCATCAAACGCCAAACTCCTCATTTCGAGAAAACCGAGAAAAGTCTGCAATTTTTTCTGATTTCGAAACATTTTTATTTATTATAGCAATTGATAAGTTAATAATTTTCATATAAATATGTCCTAAACGATGTGTCTATTCTCTTGGAACAATAATTCGCCGCTAATGTGTGTTTTAGATTTTTGCGTTTGACGAGTTTCTGAAATAAACGATTCAATTTATCTTTGGGAGGTTCGCACTTATTGCTTAGAAATAGGGGAGGGTGTTTGTGGGAATAAATAAAGTGCGTGGATACTCACGTTGAAAACGTTATCGTAATTCTTGTTGGCTCCTC